GGGGGGGGGGGGAGTGGGGGGGAGAGCCCGGGCCGGCGGCACGCGCTGCCCCGCCCCGCCCCGCCCCGGGCAGGCGCGCGCCGGGCGGCCTCCCCGCGCGCGGCGGGGCGGAACGGGGCGGGGGTGCCGGGGAGCGCCCCGACGGCGCGTCCGCCCTGTGCCGGGCGGCGGCCCCGCGCAACCGGGGGTGCCAGGACAGCGCTGCGCGGGGCAGCGGCGGGTGGCTCTGCCGACAGAGCAGACCCCGGGGGCACCGGGCCCTCCCAGCCGCTGCATTCTCTGAGGACGCTCCCTCGCGCCCGCCTGGAAAAACGTCCTTTTTTTTTCCTTGTAGCCGCCGCTGGCCAAACCTCGGAGGCTCCGGTAAATGCCCGCCTTGGCCTTCCCACGCCTGGCGGGAATAGCCGTCGGTCCGCCCGGCTCCCGCTACGGCCGCAGCGGCCCTGCCCGAGGTGTCGGTGCGGAGCGCTGCCCGCCCGGGACGGTGCGGGCGGCGGCGCAGGGTGCGCGGCGCTGCTGTGCGGAGGTTCGGCCGCGAAGCCGCCTAGGGAATGCCCTCGGTTTTACAGCGGTAATCCCGGGGACACGCGGGAAGCCCACGCGGGACCCGGTAGGTGAGAAGCGATGGCGTTTGCAGCCGGGACAGCACATCGCCCCCGGAGCTACCACGTTTTCGGCAGGGTCCCGATTCCCCGCGAGCGAGTCCTTTTGTTGGGCCAACAATAGCTGGCCAAAGGTGGTCGAGAGGGAAATAGCTCCGTGCACGCATCTTAACTTCTTTTCCGCGCTGCCTCCCCTCCCGCCACCGCCGCCTGCCTGGAAAGGAGAAGTGGAGGTTTGCCCGTGTGAATAGGCGTGTGGAGAACAAAGTGATGGGCACAGTATGAGGTAGATATGTTTTTTCAAAAGTGAATAACTCGCAAGCCAAGGAGGGAGCGAGGGAGCCCAGCAGCTCAAAGCCGAGCGGCAGTGACATGGAATGAGCAGCCTCACTAGTTTAGGAAGCTGGCTGGGCACTCTTGGCGCATGGCAGGCGCTTGGGGCCCATTTTCTACAAACAGCTGGATGGTATTGAGATAGTGCGATGCTGATGGCTTCCTTTCTTTCAAAACAAACTGAAGCAAACCTTCACTAATTTTTTTTTTTTTTTCCCTCTGGCAATTATACTTCAAAGGCAAAAGCTGCTGCATCCCCCCAAAACAAGTTGTTAGTTTCTGACCAAAACGGAGATGTTTACTCGGTAAGAATGACCGTAAGGAGCAGAAGTCAATACCTTGTTTCTGTATAGTATCCATAAAGTTTCCAGACCATCTATTTGTATCTAGTAAAAACCTCTATACTCTCCTATTGTCTAACCCCCACCCCCTTCAATAAATTCTTCTATCATTAACAGGAGAAATAGTGGTCAGCGCTGTGCTGCATGGTGCTGTTTGCTGGCTAAATTCCCGGCCCCCCGGCTTCTCTTTCAGTCCACAGGCAGCACGTGCTGCCCTCCTGGGTGCCCGTGGCACAGGTGTGCTTTGCCAGCAGCCCTGCTGTGCTCTCCTCCCATTAACGCATCCCACGCAGGATTAAGCCTGCGTGTTCCCCTTGAGCACCGGATGCTGTGGCTGTGAGCTGTTCCATGCAAGGACTGCGGGCCAAACCTTGGAAATGAGTGGGAGCTTTGCTTAGCAGTAGCCACTGACACCTGTTTCCAGAAGCCTAGCAAGCTCCCAGCACGGGCAGAGCCAGGCTGGTGCAGTGTGGAAGTTTTAAACATCTCCCTCCAGGCTGGTGGGCTGCGTGGCTGTTGGGCCTCCTTGATAGGAAGCCCAATCCTCCGTCCCACAAACTATCCCCTGGATTCTGGGCACAGAGGGAAGCAGCATCCCATTAGCCTTTCATGTGGCTAATCAGCAAGGTGGCTGATGCCCTGGAAGGACATCTCTGGATACCCCAGGGCTGCTGTCAGGTGTAGGGGAGTTCCTTAGCAGTACCTAAGTGGCTGTATGGAGCACTGGGGCGATCAGCCGAACACCTCAGCACGCTCCTGGGATGGGAATGCTTCCCAGCTGGGAAACACTAACAGCTGCTTATTTTTCAAGTGCGTGTTTTGTGAGCACATGCACGCTTTGAAACTGGAGGCATCTGAGACTCACTCCACAGTTTGCCTTTGAAAGGACACACACAAAAAGCCATTTTCCCCACCAACACCACTGCTCAGAGGGGGAAAAAATATTTCATTGAAATCCAGTGGTCTCTGTATGTCTGTATCTGCTGTGTGTGCACACACTCAGAGTCAAAGTCAAAGGCAAAGGGTGGTTTGTGTCAGCACTGGGTTTAGCTCTGCTCTCCCAGAATAAGATAAATGTAAGTGATGAAGAACTCCTGGGGCTGGCTGAACTCATTTTGTATTCAACACTGCCTGGCCCTTTTCACTTTCCTTTCTCCCTCTCTTTGTATGTTCAAGCCTACTTGAGTTTCTTTTTTTCTTTTGTAGAAGTTGGTTCTTTTGAAGCGGTTCGAGGCACGCCCTGCTGCAAAGGGGACTTCACGGGAGTCGGAAACACAGGAACACCGGTCTGAAACACTTACTGTACAATAGCAGGAATGTAGGAAGCTTTGAAAATGAATCTCCTCTAAGCAAGTGTCAAAGCTTTCAGAGGAAAACAAACTGAACTTATCCCCGTATCTTTATGCATATTTTCCCCCCAATCCTCCTTTCCCTCCAACTCCGCCCCCCTTCCTCCCCTCCAGCCTGGTTAAGGGCCCAGGCAGCAACTCGGGGTCAGGAACGTACTAGTGTTACAGAAAAATGGGTTACAAAAGGGGGGGAGCAGACTTGCAAAAAGCCTCCTCTATCATTACAGCCAGAGACATTTAGAAAGCACATAAAGCATATGGGTCAGTCCTCAGCTTGTACTCAACAGTCTAATTGCTCATTCAATCCCATTTCAAGATCAGCCAGCTTCTCTGCAGGCATCATCACTGGTCAGAAAGTATTTTATTCCTTCTCTCCACTTTCTTTCCCCACTTTCCCCATGTGTTCTCCTGTTTCCTCCTTTCCTTTTGAAAAGTATGTGGGGGGACACAGTACCTTTGTACTCTTTGTACCTCCCCTCTTCAGGCAGTAAAACCCAAAAGTAGATAGAGACCAAAGTGCGAGTCTTGCTCACTGAGACTGGGTAATTCTTGCTGAATCCCAACTGCAACCTGTCCAGGCCTCCTGCAGGAGGAGGGAAGGGGGATTTCTCCCAGTGGCTGGCCTGCTTCCTGGGATGGCAAAGCCCACCTAGGAGCTATTAGCTACTCTCTTGGACTGCATCATCAGAATATTCACCAAAATAGAGCATTCATACTTATATTATTCAGAGCAAGATTGGCTTTAAGCAGAAAAGGGTCCAGCAGCAAATGTTTCTTAGGCTCCTTCCATGACCAGTGTCTTATGCTTCACTGTAAAATGTGTTTTAAATACACATTAGAAGTGATGACTGCAAGGAATACAAAAGCCCAGGTACCCGGGAAATCACGTTTCTGATCCCTGCTCCTTTCCATTCAGGACAACCAGGACCATGCTGCTGCTGCAGCAGATGTGCCCTCATTTCTGCAGAGCAATCTTCCTGGGCAGATTGTTACACTTACCCAATGCCATTTGCTTCAGTTCTTAGAGGGTTGGTAAAACTCATTCCCATTTCTTGGTGACATTTACCTCCATAAATATCTGGGTCTAGCCCTGTGGACACTTGCAGTTGTGTACAGTTAATTCTAGTGCAAGTACTTCCACTGCCTCCAAGAGAAATGCAAAGCATTGGTATAACAATACTTGCCTGCCTCCTGGGGCCATTGTCAGGCATAATGGATTCAGCCTGGATACAGTTGGAAATTTTATATATTATACCTACAAATATTTTTCCCATTTAATTTGCTACAGCTGTTACTGGGATGTTAATTTATGCTCATATTTTAAAAATAAAAAGCTTCATATTCAAGGAGGCATCACTCATAATAATTTTCTTTTCTCATTTTACTTAAAACCCTTTTTTGTTTTGCACTCAGCTTGGCATGGAGGTTCCACTAAAATTGCTAAATGCCTTCAGTCCCACCAAAGTCTTGGACAGCTGAGGCACTTGTCAGCTCTGGAACACTTTGAACAGCGATGTTATTCCACGTGTAGCTTGTTCACCCTTGGCAGCAGGAACAATTCTGCAGGGCCTGTGCATGCTCACAGGCACCACCCACAGGTCCATCGTTTTAGTTACTCTTTAAATGAGCAAAAAGAGAACACTAATGACCATCCCTACTTTATGAACGAGTGCTTTCTAACACACTTTCATTAGGCTGCTAGTTGATATATTTTACTAGTAAAAATCACTTAAGCAACAAAATTACCACTGTGATCAACTGTTTTACAGTATATGATCAACACTTCATTTAGTTTAAGATCAGAGAATTAACATCAATCCGCCCACAGAAACAATGTATTTCCTTCAAATCACATCTGGTCACTTCCTCTTGCTCTCAAGGTCTCTTGCACAAGAGCCCAAAGAGCAAAAGTACTCCAGATTTGCTGGCACTAGATTTATTTTTTTTTTAACTGATCATCTCAGCATCCCCTTTTTCACTGTCCCTTTTGTGATTTGTTCTGGGAAAAGATTCTAGTCATATCTTGAGGTATAAATGAAAAAATTAGCTTGCAGGCTCTTTCTTTGTGGCATAATAGTAACATTTA